TAACTTCAAGGTCAGCAGTTTGAAACCACCAGTGGTTCCATGGGAGAAAGATGAGGCTTTCTGCCTCAGAAGTCCTATACAGGGTCACTATGAGTCAGAACCGACTCCGTGGCACACCATCACCATCTGCTGCTGAGTTGGACCAAGATTCATGGCAACCCGTGTGTTACAGAGTAGAATTGATCTCTATGGTATTCTTGGCTGCAACGTGGTGCTGTAAGATAAGCACTCAACTTCAAAGTATGTTTGAACCACAAGGTCAGCGGTTCAAACTCACCAACTGCTCCTTGGAAACCCTATACAGGGTCAGTATGGGTCGGAACTGACTCGATGACACTTAACAACGATCTTTACGAAAGCAAGTCATAAAGCCTTTCTGTGGAGCCACTAAGTGGTTCGAACTGCCTATTTTTGGGTTTGCGGCTGATTATAAACATTTGCACCACCCAGCTCCTTAAAACTTTGAATGTTTTGTTGTTGTTAAGTGCTGTCAAGTCAGTTTCAACTCATAACAGCCCTGCATAGAGTTCCGAGGAATAGGTGGTGAGCTTGAATAGCTGACTTTTCAGTTCAAACCCACCTTGCAAGCCACACCAGGACGGGAGAACTTATAGTCTCCAATCTCCTTTCATGAAAGTAGCTGTGTATTTCTAGGCATTTAGCTGAGTTTTCCTGGTCCCTGCTACCCATCTGTCAGTTTATTGTACTGTGGTGGCTTGCGCACTGCTATGATGCTGGAAGCTATGCCACCAGTATTTGAAATAACAGCATAGTCACCCATGGTGCACAAGTTTCAGTGGAGCTTGCAGACTAAGACAGACTAGGAACAAAGTCCTGGTGATCTACTTCTGAAAACTGACCAATGAAAACCTTATGGGTAACAACAGAATCCTGTCCAGTACAATGGGCTCAAACAGACCAACGATTATGAAGATGGTACAAGTGCATTCTGTAATACATAAGTTCACCATGAGTTAGAGTCAGTTTGACAGCAACTCATAACAACACCAGACCCAAAGTGACACGCCAAGAACTGGATTCCTCCCGGGCTTGGGCAGAGTAATAGCAAAACAGGGTGGGGTGGGGGAACTCAAGTGTGGGTCTTTGAGCTGAGAACAGGCTTGGAGTTTCAGCCTTAATAAGAGATTAATGAGGATCAAGTTGTGAGGGAGGTGGAGAGAAACTCTTGCAGGTGAGGAGGTCAGGACTCTCAGAGACACAAACTCCTGCTCGCCCACATGGTCATTACTGCTGGGGCAGTGATGGCCCAGAACATGAGAGGGTGTGTGACAAGTCAGCTGTAGGGAGCCAACTCACACAGATCTTATCTGCCTGCAAAAGCCACCACGTGAACTACTATCATCCAGCACCAGGGCTGTGTCTGGTAAGAAACAGGGCATCGTCACAGGACCAGAACCACAAAACCAGCCCACCCTGATGCAAACCTGTCAGAGGAAGTTCGAGGCTGCTCTTAGCCAGGTACATTATCGCCACTTTCAGGAAAGAGCCTGGGAAAATGGATATTTTAGAGTCTATAGTACATGGCCGTAGGAAGGGAACACAAAAATGAAAATAAACCAAATCTCTTGCTCTATTCACAGACCGCCAAACCCTGCCTTTTCCCATTGTTGTTGTTCAAGCTTTTGGGGGCAGAAGTTTTTCATCTGGAATCTTCAAATAGTGTCCTCAGTATTTGCAGTCTTTGTGACCAAAGGTAAGTGCCAGAGCAGAGGAATCCTCCTTTCTCTCTCAACACCTGAGGCGCATGCGTTATCTGGAAGCATTATATCCAAAATTCACTACCCTAGATCAATTCCAACTCAGAGCTACCCTTCCAGACAGAGTAAACTGCTCCATAGGATTTCTGAGACGGTTAACTCTTTACCAAAGCAGACTGCCTTATCTTTCTCCCAGGGAGTGGCTGATAGGTTCACACCATTGACCTTTCAGTTAGCAGTCCAATGCTTAGTCCATTGTGCCCATGGTGATCATATTTTCTAAACCCAATGAGGAAATGTCAGAAATGAAGCAGGATAATTTAAATCAGGGTCAGCCATAATTTACAGGCTGGAGGGCTATAAAATAAACACTAGACTGCTAACCACAAGATCAGCAAATCAAACCCACAAGCCTGCTCCTTGGATGGAGCATATAGTTAAGCCCTCCACTACTAAATGAGTTGGTGTTTGGAACCCATCCAGAGGCACCTCTGAATAAAGGTCTGGCAATCTTTTTCTGAAAGGTCACAGCCTTGGAAACCCTAGTGAGCACAATTCTACTCTGAAACACCCAGGGTAGCCAAGAGTCAGAGTCAACTCGATAGCAACTGGATGTTTGGATTTTAGAAGCACCACCTCTGAGCTTGAGGTGTCATCAGGGGTCCCCATGTTAGAACTAGAAGGAACCTAGAGACCATTAACTTGCTCTTTTGCACTCGCTCATACCATCAGCCAGAAGACGACTCAGCGCCCGAATCCAGGTCTACGATACCAAGTGACTCAGGGGTCAGTGACAGCAGCTCCGTGAAAAAACAAAAATCTTTGTTTGCTAACGTGTATGAGGACACGTGGCTTTACGGCTTCCACATTGATGGGCAGGCTCCCCTGGGAGGAAATGTCTGGCTCAGGACATCCGGAATACAGACTCTAGGCACCAGGACGGAAGTCGGTCTACCGACCTTGAAGCCCCTTGTCATCCTAAGGAACAATTATTTGTTCAAGAGTTCAAAACAAGGGCTTTTGAATTGTTGACTTTATGACTTTATACATAAAGTTTTGCTGTTTTAGTTTTGTTGTTGTTATTTTTAAAAACACAGTCACCTCACCTTTCAAAACTGATGGTGACCAGGGTCGTGGAATAAAGGCCAGGCAGAGGACCTTGGTGTTGTTGTTAAGTGCCGTTGAGTCAGTTCCGACCCATAGCGATCCTGTACAGGGTTTCCAAGGTTGTAAATCTTTACGGGAGCAGAAAGCCTCATCTTTCTCCCGCGGAGCCACTGGTAGTTTCGAACTGCTGACCTTAAGGTTCGCAGCCCAATTCATAACCACTATGCTATCAGAGCAGAGGACCCACTGTGGGAGATTTAGAAGGCTAGTGGATCCAGACTGTCAGCATTGTGCCATTTCCAAAACCAATGGCCACTGGTTTCTCCAAGGAGATACATAATCATTGTAGGAACATGTATGCCTGAAAACATGGAAGATCAGCCAAGCCTGGGAGGTGTTTCCCCAAACTCACCAGTTCTTAATCCCTCCTACCGAGTACCTAAAATTAGTAAATGCCAGGAAACGATTAAAGTAAAAATCAGCTGCCAAGTAATTAGGGATGAAAGAAACCTAAACATGAGAGTGAGGCAGGAGAGCAAAGAACTAAGCCCCTGTGCTTTGAGGTCAGTCAGATTCACCAGAACTCAAAGCCCAGCTTTGCCACCCCAGACTGTGTGACCTTGGGTAGGTTGCTTAACCTCACCAGGCCTCAGTTTTCCCACCTGTAAAATGGTGCAACAATTATGTTCTAAAAGTTTTTGAAAGAGATAATCTAGGCCCTAAGACCCCAATATAACATCTAGCAAATGGAAGTGCTCAACACTCAGTCACTATTTTGATATCCCAAAGAATGTAAGCCTTTGGGAAATACATTTCTAGGGATATTCAAGTTTATAAGATAGAGCATAGTTGGGTTCCAGTGATTCATATGTTGTTGCTGTGCTGTTAAGTGCTGTTGAGTTGGTTCCCACTCATAGCAACCCTGTATAAGGTTTCTGAGGAATGTCTGGGGGTTTGAACTGCCAACCTTGAGGTTAGCAGTCCAGTGCTGATCCATCCACTGCAAGTTCAGTTAGATTCTGGGTGCTGGAACCCATGTGGGGCTCAGGAGGGTAGGTATGAGCTGGGAATCTGCCCCTGTACCAAGTCCTTCCAACAACATCTGTTCCCCTGGTGCCCCCGAGGGCCAGATTACTCTGATGAATCTTGGTGAATCAGTTCGAATCAAGGGTCCTCTGCTTTCCAGGTCTATCTCCTAACTTTCAGAGATGCTCCGTCTCTGGTGAGGCTCGCTGCGGATTCAGCCAAGGGCAGTTGAGCTAAGGCTCCAGGGAAGAGCGCTGTCCCTGTGCCGACACCCCAATCAGTTCACTTAGAACCCCAGAGCACTGCCCACTTACATATACTCACCGCTTTCCTTTTGGCCTCATCGTTCAGAGACATCACCCAGGCTGCTAGCCACTGGCTCCGCCAGCTGTTCAGCGTCAGGATCCAGGTCAGCAGGGCATCCGTCTCAGGGCGCTGCCCCTCGCCAAGCTCCTCCGGCCGCCGCTGGGGCCGAGGTCGTGCTCTGGCTAGCACCCATTGCGCTAGGTACAGGCCCACCGTGACCAGGGCCACGACGAAGAGCGACACCAGGATTAGCCACTGGACCTCACTGAGCCACGAGCCCAGCCAGGACATGGTGCTGGCTCATACCCGGCCGCCTCGCCTCAGCTCTCCAGCGCAACCCGGATTCAGGGCGCAGCGCCCGCGGGCGGCGAACTCAGGACATCAGCCCGCAGGCAGGCGGGCTCCAAGGGCGGGCCGGGGGCGCGGCGGCAGAGTGGGGCGGGAACCGAGAAGCCGGGTCCAGGGGCCGCTTGGCGGCGGGATCCAGGCGCAGAGGCCGGAATGAAATGTCCACCCTGCGCACAATGGCCACGGCCCGCAACCGCGTACCCTCCAATCACACCTGGAAAATGGGAACGCACCAGCAGACCCGGGGTCGACGTTGGCTACTCGGGCGTCTGGGAAGTTCCTGGGCCGTGGCTGGGGCGCGATTCCTTCTCCGCGTGCCGCCCAGGGCGTCCCGCCCGCGGCCCAGCAGTGGCCTGGAGGAGCCCGGCCGGGGGCGGGGCGGCGGGAGGAGCGGGGGCGGGAGAGGGAGCAATGCTGGGGGTGGGGCCGGCCGGCCAGGGGCGGGTCCAGGTCCTGTCGAGGCGGTCCTACGCTGCAGCCTGCGGAGTCTCAGGGACCCGCCCAGCCCGCCTCCTTAAAGGCCTCGCTGGGATAGGCCACGTCCCCGCCCCCGCCGCTTCCTTGGTCCGGGTCACCTGAGCCCGCGGTCACTCCGGCCGCTTCCCACAGGCTGCGGCGGCACCGGGTCACCTGGCTTTGCACACCCGGGGTGGCTTCTTCCAGTACTGACATGCCTCTGGCGTGACGACGCGACCGCAGCCTTGAGCGGGACTTTCCAATTAATCAGCCAGACCAAAGCTGATCCTGGGCATTGACTGGTTCATGTGGATGTGTGGATGTGTGTGTGTGGTGTCACAGTTGGAGGGTGATTTTTAAGAATACCATCTGCCTACCAGCAAGACAGTGCCTCGTTTTAGATACTTTGGAAAGTCCCAAGAAGTCCACCACTCGCTCCTGAGACCTAGATTTACGAAGTACCTTGCCCTATCAAATAAATGTCCAAGCAAAGTCTCAACCAACTGCCCCAGGTCCGACCTGTGCAGATGAGTTATTTATTAAAGTGTGTGTGTGTGTAAGGATCCCTAGTAGCGTAATGGTGTGGCGTTGTGGTTAATGCTGGTCTGCATAGTCGGTTAGAACTGCAAGGTCCGCGGTTCAAGCTCACCAGATGCTCCTCGGAAACCTTACGCACTATGGATCAGGACAGACTCTACAGCACTTAACAACAACAGTAGCGAAGTGGGTTATATATTGGGTTGCTTAGGAGCTCTGGTAGCATAGTGGTTATGAGTCCAGCTGCCAACCTCAAGGTCAGCTGTTCGAAACTACCCGCGGCCCTATGGGAAAAAGATGAGGCCTTCCACTCACATGAAGATTTACAGCCTCTGTACAGCCTCGGAAACCCTGTGCAGGGTCACTGTAAGTCGGAACTGACTCCACAGTACTTAACAACAACAAGGCAGGGCGAAAGATGAAGCTTACTGTTCCTGTAAAGATTTACAGCCTCGGAAATATAGGGTCGCTATGAGTCGGATTCGACTCCAGGCACATAACCACCACCACCAAGGCAGGGCCAGCAGTTCGAATCCACCAGCTGCTCAATAAAGATTTATAGTCTCAGAAACCCTACATAGGGTCCTATGAGTCAGAATTGACTAGGTAGAAGTGTGTTGGGTTTGGGAGTGGTGTGTGTGTGACCCACCCTTCCTTGCAGAGCCATCCCCATCCATAGGAAGAACCAAGGAAATGCAAAGCCCAAACCATGAAATAGTGGTTGGCAGGAGTCCTGGTGTAGTGCTGTAGGATAAGCAGTGGACTGCTAACCCAAGGTTCAAACCCACCAGCCACTCCTCGGAAACCCTATAGTGGGTTACACATTGGATTGCTAAATGTAAGGCTGGCAGTTCGAATCTACCAGTCACTCTGCAGGACCAAGATGAGGCTTTGTGCTCCCATAAAGATTTACAACTTCTAACTCAACGACACAACATTACCAACAGTCTTTGACTTCTCTTACCTGGATGGGCCTACTGGGGGAGAGGGAGTCTACTTGGTAAGGGTAGTGAGTCTCAAACTCCTCTCTCACAGCAACAGGGTTCAAGAGGCTCCTCCATAGCCCCCCTCCCCACCCCCACTTCCCTCCCCAACAGCACTGGTGAAGACAAGCATGCAGGTCTCCTTAGAACTCTGCTGAGATGGGCTTTCCTCAAGGAGACAGGCTTTTTTGACAGTTGGCCCAGGATCAGGCAGTGTTTCGTTCTGCTGTGCATAAGGTCGCTATGAGTCAGCACTGACTCGATGGCACCTAACAACAACAACAATATTTGGAGTCTTGGTGTGACGGCTGTGG